GCCCTGATATTTTTTTAAAAAATTTTTTACGGCCCGGCCCGGCCTGGATTTTAAAATTTAAGGCCCGGATATAAGTATATTTCATATTTTATTCAGATATTTAATTACAAATTGATACTATAAAAAATTTGTGCAAATAATATTTTTGAATATAAAAGATTCTATTTGTGATTTTTAATTTTTATTTAAAAAATACATGTAAAAAGCTAATATTTTGAGAATATTATATTAAATTTATAAAAATTATAAAACTGTTATTTATAAAAATGGATATTTTGAGCATATACTATATTTTATATTGCATTTAAAATAAAACTAATATTCATAAAAATGGTAATAATATTTTGAGCATATACTATATTTTATATTGCATTTAAAAATAATAAAACTAATATATAATTTATAAAAATGGAAAATATTTTGACAATATAATATATTGTATTTAATTTACTATTTAATTTATAAAGTAAAAATAAATCGCTATTTAAAAAAATGCATGTATAATAAATAGTATTTTGAAAATATAATCAAATTGCACAAATTAATATAATTTATTTAATAATATAAATTTTTAACAAAAGAAGATAATTGTATTATATAATATATTGTAAAAAAAATAATAAAAAACTTTCATGACTCAAGGTAAAATATAATAAATGCAATAAAAATTTGACAGTTTGCAAAGTAAAAAACCAGCATGATTGACGAAACCCTATACTCAAGAAAGATATTAAAAATTCACAAATTATCATGAAGAAAGAGAAGCATATCTACCTTTTCAGGTTGAAGATTACTTCTTCTTTCTTCAAGAATTCTTCCAGTAGTGGAAAAATTCCGCTCACAGCTTGCACTTGAAGCAGGAATAGCCAATACCCGTTTTGCCAATTTTGCAAAAATTGGGAATTCGCTTTGATGAGAAGCCCACCACTCTAACAAATTATCCACCTTAAATATTTCATCTGTTTTTTTGTTTATATAATTATAATATTCATCATCGGGTATTGAGATATTACCAGAATTACCATCGCCCCATTTGTCATAAAACGACTCAGTTTGTTTAACAACAGTCGTAATTTGACTGGTCGATGGTATTTCATTTACTTCCTGAGCCTCTTGTGATTTAATATAATCTTTTATATAGTTTTCCGCCATCTTGCGATCTGTCCCTGACAACATACTTAATTGTTTGAATTTGGGACAGAGAAAAAGAGAAATAAAATGATACTTGTGTAAAACAAATTTTTCAATTAAAAAATGCTTTATATTAAGTAATATCAATTTTATTTCTCTTTTTTCGCTTTGAAAGGTATTACAAACTTCAAGAAGTTCATAATACCATATTACCACTTTAAAAAGAGTACAAGAGTCCGACTGTAACTCAACAATAGCTCTGTTAAAATTCTCAAGAATGTTGACTAGATCCTGAAGGATCGGAAAGTCTATAATATAATACTTTTCCGATCCCCCATGTTCTAGAAGAACTTTTTTAATTTCTTCATTTTGAGAATAAACAGAATTGAGCATATTGTACTTAGAGTTCCAGCGGACTTCTATATCTTGATAAAGGGCTTTTAAATGCTGGCATTTATTACTTTGTTTTAAATGCCCCACTAATATTTTAGTATTATCTATTGTTGATTTTATTAATGGGGCATTACTTTCCAAATATTTGGAGTTAAATGAATTTCTTAAAATTGTATTTAATAAATGACTAGAACAATTTAATCGTTCATTTAACTCCAATGCTTTTATAATATTTTTACCTTGGTCTGTAACAAAAATTATATTAATAAAATCGTTATTGTTAAAACTAAAATTATGAAAATTTTTTAATAGTTCATCCTTAACTACTTGGCTAGTCTTAGACACTTCTTTAAATTTAGCGGTAAATAGGTTTCTCTTCACTAACTTCCAGTCATCTGATATATAGTGCATGTTAACTGTTATAAACGAGTTCTTTTTATGGTCATCGCACCATATATCAGTGGAAGCAGCCATAAATCGATTCTTGATTACTGGGGCAATAGTATCAACCAAAATGCTTCTTATTTTATTACATTTTTCTTTAAGGTGGCGTGATAGAGTGGTGGGATGTGAAATTAATGAGTTGATATCTATTTTACCATATGTTGCCCCAACATCGACTAGAGCCTGGCTGAATTCAAGAAACCCATTCCCAGCTATCATTTCGAAAGGTCTAATATCTTTTGCGCAAAGTGTTAAGGAATGATCTATAAATTTTTGTTTTAAATATTTCATATTACATTTATAAGTGGGTTTTTCAGGTGTAAAAAAAAAATTATTAATTTTCATAGATTTACCATCACATTTATGTCTTTTTAAATGTGATGTACCATGGTTATAATTATAAGATAATAAATTTGAACAATTTATGCATTGCACATAGCCAATATTTTTTTTATTATTATTATCTATTATTATTTTAAATTTAGACCAAATTTCAGATTTTAAAGTATTATTAGTATTTTTAAAAGAATAAATATTATTTTTAATTTTGTCAATTATATCTTTAGTGTTTTGTGCCATGATATTCCTTTTATTGATTGTTTTGGAAATATTCTAAAAATTTAGATATGAATTATAAGATTTATATTTAATATTAATTTTTACTTTAGCTTCTTGAATGCTTAAAATTGATTGATTTTGTATCACTAATTCTAATGATAATAAATATTAATTAATTATTTATATCTTACATTGATTATAAATATCTAATATCAATATTTATTAAATAATGTAGATTGAAATTATTATATTTATTTATTATAATAAATTTAAACTGAATATTATAGTTATAAGAAAAAGTATGTTATTAAAATTTTATATTATTTACAAAAAGATTCAATCTAATTTGAAATAGATTTTATAAACTAATATATGAAGCTAAAAAATATCAATGTACATTTTTATTTAAAGAGAATAATTCAAAAGAATTTTTTATTACTTAAATCTGTTTATGGGATATATCCACTTCTAAACTATTCTTCTAACACAACTGTTCTAAGTCTAACTTTTCTAACAAAATTTGATAATGATTAGTGGAGCACTGCAATTCTAGATAATAACATATATTAAGTAATTTAAAATATATTTATAATAATTATACATACTGTTCTAAGTCTAACTTCTAAGTTTTCTAACACAATTTGGGAGCACTGAAATTTTAGATATTAAAATATATTAAGTAATTTAAAATGGAGTTTTCCGGTATCTTTCAGGAAATTAATAATTAGATCGATCTGTGGGTGTTAGGTAGTGTTAACCATCACCCAATATTATATTAATCATAACTATAATATAATATAATCTTATAACCAATAACTCATAATGTAAAATTTTTTATAAAAAATATTAAGGCCCGGCCCGGCCCGGGTTTAAAAATCTTAGGCACGGCCCGGCCCGGCCCGGATATATTTAAAAAAAATTTTTTAGGCCCGGCCTGGATAAAATTTTTAGGTCCGGCCCGGCCCGGCCCGGTATATTTAAAAAATTTAAAATACGTCCGGGCCGGGCTTAGGGCCGGGCTTGCAGGTCTCTGATTTATTATACATGAATTTTTTTAAATAGCGATTTATTTTTATTTTATAAATTAAATAGTAAATACAATATATTATATTCTCAAAATATTTTCCATTTTTTTATAAATTAAATATTAGTTTTATTTTTTTTAAATGCAATATAAAATATAGTATATGCTCAAAATATTATTACCATTTTTATGAATATTAGTTTTATTTTTATAAATGCAATATAAAATATAGTATATTCTCAAAATATTCATTTTTATAAATAACAGTTTTATAATTTTTATAAATTCAATATAATATTCTCAAAAATTAGCTTTTACATGTATTTTTTAAATAAAAATTAAAATATCACAAATACAATCTTTTATATTCAAAAATATTATTTGCACAAATTTTTTATAGTATCAATTTGTAATTAAATATCTGAATAAAATATGGAATATACTTATATCCGGGCCGTAAAAATTTTTTTTTAAAAATATCCGGGCCGGGCCTTGAATTTTTAAATCCGGGCCGGGCCGGGCAGTAAAAATTTTTTTAAAAAATATCCGGGCCGGGCTTAAAAATTTTAAAACCGGGCCAGGCCGGGCCATGCAAATGGTGCCTCTGCAGGTCTCTGGATTATTTTAAATTTAAAAATGGCGCTTAATAAATTGTTGCGTTATTTTAATCTTTAGGGCTACGTTTTTGCAGGTTTTTTTTAAATTTAATTTGCGTAAAAAAATGGGAATATTTGCTAAAAGACACTAATATTTTTTTTTTTTAAATTCGAAATAAAATGCGCGATTATGCGCCATTATTATAGCTAAGATATAGATTTAAGTCATTTATAGGGTGCATTTTTTAAAAATTCGAATTATATTTCAGTGTTTGTGTAACCCTGCACTCACAGTTAGCGCGAATTCACTGAGAAGTACACAAAAATACAGCATATTTTGTATACTTCGTCGCAAATTCGCGCTAGCTGTGAATGAGGGGTCACTAGTCAGTCGGAAGTGGCGTTCTGATACAACAAATTAATTTTTGCGTCTTCTAATTTAAACATAAAACGTCATTTTTTTAAAAAAAACGGTGACTTTTTAAAAAAATCAGTGACTTCTTTAAAAAAAACATAATTACTTTTCCTTTGCCAAATATAGATATGAAAAAAACACGTTGGTTTTGGAGGAAAAAAACGGTATGTGAACTAAAAAAAACAATCTATAAATGAGATAATCTCTTTTTTTCCTAATTAATTAAGGTGAATTTAAGAATTTCTAAATTCCAAATATTTTAAAATAAATACGTTAAAACTTTTCATAAAAATGTCAAGTCGTTATTATTTAATAAAGACGGATTCTTTAAGTTTTAAATTCCTATTTTTTTTATAGAATGTTTCATATCTTGTGAAACAAAGACAATATTAAAAAAAAATCAAATAGATGAAATAGTAATAGATTATAATTAGAAAACTAAAGGAGGAGTGGTCTCTTTGTCAAAGGAGGACTTGACGACGTTGGCTATAGCTTTGAGGTAAGGGATGCTAAATCTTTGGAATAATTGTTTGTTCATGCATTCTGCGTGCGACTCAAAAATTTGAAGAATCTTTGAAAATATATTATTGAAAATAAAATAATTTTAAAATTTTACTTGCTTTTTATATATATATCTTTGCGGCAATGTATTTTTTCCGGCAACGTGTTATTTTTTAAACTTTAAATAATTTTTCGAGCGTGTTTTTTTTTAAATTTCACAAATGTATAAATATTATGACCTTGGAACAAAAACCATCAATTGATGGTTTTTATAAATTAATAAATATATTAAAAATACCGAAATACATTGATGTTTGTTTGAGGAGAGTAATTCTCTCTATTTTTTATGATTCGCCAAAATACTTATTAGATGGTCTAAAAGCAGAGTAGAAATGGGTAGAATATTTTCGTAATAACGATAAATCCCCATGCTTGAAAAAAATATGCGAGTATGTCTTCTCCTTACCTTATTCTAATGCCTCATCCGAGCGCATTTTTAGTCTGATGAGGAGCCTGGAAAAAGAAGAGAAATCGGATTGCTTTAACAACATTAGATGCCGAGCGAATGGTTAAATAAATATATAATATGTCATGCCCAGTAATTTTATATATATCTCAATAACAATGGTAAACATTTAATTCTATTATTTAAATTTCAAATAAAATATAATTAAGTTTAGCAATGGCGTCATAAAATTTATTATCAATTTTTAACTGTAAAGATGAACACATCTGCAGCATAATTTTGTTGAATCTTTGTTAAGATTCTTCTGATTGCAACTATACATTAACAGCATGTAGTAGATTTCCTACATGTGAAATCATTCATAAATATACCTCTGCCATTCATTATTGAAAAAATTTTTCAAAATGTTCGGACCAATTTTATAATATTTATTTAAGAAATATTTTTTAAAGGTTTATAAAATTTTTAAATTCTATCGATGGCGGGTATTAGGAACATATCGCAACCAACGTTGTGCTGACTCAATTCTGTAAATACACTCTGTTTTACCAAATTCACTGAGGCATTACCAGATCAGAAACTGACATGCAATTTATTGATAATCTCGAATCTGCTGGTTAGCTATGTCTTTAGATTTTTCACTATTTGAGGAGAAAAAATTTAATAGTTTTATTGAAACGACCTTAATTTTGTTGAAATAGCATATTTCCCTTATTAAATACATCTGTTAGAATTGCATATGTATGCCCATCTTTCAAAACTTCAAGAATTGACCTTCTGGATTTAGATCCTAAAACATTGATAGCCTTGCTCATTTTTGTTCCACAAGTATAGTTTTCATTTATATTACGTTAAATATTATGGGACTACCAACTTTGTGATGATAAGTATCTATTTGAATGTTGTACTACAAGATAAGTGATTACAATTGCCGCAACTGTAGTTGCATATATATTTCTTATTTTTGGAGTACCTTATAATGTATTTAAACGTGATAGATACGTGATAATTAAGCGCATATCCCTATAATGTTATACACACACAGATTTCCAATTGCGGTCGTTTTGCGGGACATTCGCATAAAATATATTTTTAATTTAAAATCGTTTTTTTTTATAAAATTTAATCTTGTTTACATTCTTGTATAAAGATCGTTGGTTTTTTTTATAAATTAATAAATATATTTTAATAAATCAAGATGTTATTTTATTTTGAAAAATAGTTACCGACTTTGTATTTATATAAACTAATTATAAAAAATAATAGGCGGATAATTAAGTCAACAAAATCCCGGCTGAAGGCAGGCCCGCAAAAAAATTTTTTTTAGCAATTTTTATATTTCTACAGCAATTTTCGTATTTCTCCCGCATAATACCAAATTTCTCCTGCAATTTGAAAATTTTGACCTGGCAACCCTGATCTTACCTCATGGTCTGGGCTAGTGTTGTTAAACGGCTCGTTTTGAGCCGATTTTTAAAAACGGCTAATTCAATATTTCACCCAGAAAAATATTATGCAAGCCTGAAGATTTTGCCCATAGAAGGGACAAAGGTCTAGATATATATTATCGAAATCTCGACGCTCAAACAATATTTTTCTGGTTAAAATATTGAGTTAGCCGTTTTAAAAAATCGGCTCAAAACGAGCCGTTTAACAACACTAGTCTGGGCTAAAAAAATTTGGTATTAGAGATATTAAAAGATCCGAGTTACAACTTACCGCTTATGACGGAAATTTAATTAAGATCATCGGCATTACACAAGTTAAAGTGACTTATGAAGGTATCTTAAAATATTTACAAGCGATAGTCGTTGAGTCTAGGAAAAATGCCTTGTTGGGACGTACATGGATCAACGTTTCAAAAATATTTTAATTAAATTTATAGAAAATATTGACACAAATTACGAAGATGAAATAAAAAAATTGATTAAAGAGTGTGAATCTAAATTGACTAATGGGCCAATCAACAAAGCAAGTGTCAAGTTACATTTAAAAAGAGATGCTCAACCTAAAATTATACCACCTAGAGGTATTCCATATTCAAAAATTGATCTTGTGAGCTACGAACTTAAAAAATGGATACATGATAAAATTATTGAGCCGGTGAATGATGTTCGATGGGCAAGTCCTATTACCGCCGTCTACAAAGATGATGGGAGCATTAGGCTTTGCGCTGATTTTAGGGACACCGTAAACCAAGCTCTAGAAGATTTCAGATACCCACTACCACGAATCAATGATCTAATAGATAAACTTTCAGAAAAAAGAAATTTACGAAGTTAAAATGCTTTCTTACAGGTCCTGATTGATAAAAGTTGAGAAATATTTTAACCATATTTACGCACAAGGGATATTACCGATTTACTAGACTTCCTTTTGGGCTAAAGACCTCATCTGCAATCTTCCAACAGACCATGGACCAAATCTTCGGTGACATGAAAGACGTCATATTTTATATTAATGATTTACTTATAACCGGAAAAAACGATAAAGCTCACCTAAATAAGATAAAAAAAAGTGTTTAATAGAATATCATCGTTTGGGCTAGTCCCTAACTTCAACAAAAGTGTGTTCTTTAAAAATAAAGTGAGGTTCCTGGGTCATGATATTGACGCCAAGGGGATTCATGCTAATCATGACAAAATTGAAGCAATAATTAAAATGCCAGAACCAAAATCAGCTGCTGAATTATCAACATTTCTGAGAATGGCTGGCTACTATAGAAATTTTTGAACAATTTTGCAGAAATAGCCGATCCTCTATATAAAATCGTCAACAAATAAAAATGGGCTTGGAACTTAGAACACTCTAGAAGTTTTAATGATCTTAAAAAGTTGATTAGTCTTCCTCCTGCCTTGACATATTTTAACCCTGAATAACCTATAGGAATAGCCACTGACGCATCTAAATATGGTTTAGGAGCTGTATTATTTCATACTGAAAAAGACGGCAAGAAAAACCAATAGCTTTCGCGTCGAGAACCTTATTAAAATCCGAAATGAATATACCAATATTGAGCGTGAGGCTCTCGCTATTATGTTCGCTATAAAGAGGTTCCAGGAATACTTAATCGGCACAAAATTTACAATTATTACTGGCCATAAACCTCTTGTTGATATCTTTACCAAGGGTCTTAAGGATAATAGTACTATGTCCTTAAGACTCCAGAAGTGGAATATAACATTAGGAGGATATGATTTTAATATAAAGTATAAAGCCGGTAAATATAATGTTGTTCCTGATTGTCTCTCGAGATTACACAAGAATGTCATGATGAAGTTGTTGAAAATATCACAATAATAAATGACTTTGGGGATTTACCTATCAATTTTAATCAAATTCGTGATGAAACTTTGAAAGATATTGAATTAAAACAAGTCAGAAATGATATTAAGAACAACAGGCCTATAAAGAATAATATCTATAAAAACATTGAATTGGAATTAAGTATAATTAAGGATTGTCTTTATAAAAGCAACAAAATCATAATTCCGTCTTCTATGAGAAAAAATGTACTACAGCCATTACAAAGGTCACTTGGGAGCAGGAAAAATCAAATCCTTAGCCAAAGATTATATGTGGTGGTCTGGTATAAATAATGACATAGAAATGGAAGTGAAAAGTTGTGACGAATGTAACACATATCACGACAATCCTAAAAAGATACAAAAACCACGGGTTTCGGCAACCAAACCATTTGAAAGGAAACATATAGATTGTGCGCGTCCGTTCTTCACAAGAAATTGGTTGATAATAGTCGATGTCTACAGTAAATTTCCAATTATTATTCCTGTTAAAAATATTACGACCGATATCACTTTAAAAGAAATTTTCAAAACTATTTCGCTATATGGAATACCTCAAACTATAGTTACTGATAACGGCACTAACTTTACAAGTAATGATTTTGAAAAATTTTGCAATGATTATGGTATCAAACATGTGCTCACATCTGCCTATCACCAGCAATCCAATGGCCAGGTAGAACGCATGGTAAGAAGGTTCAAAATACATATGAAAAGGAATATTAAAATTGACCTAGATATCGCACTTGGCTAGTTTTTATTTAGTTACAGAAATACGCGTAATGATACTACAGGAGTTACACCATCTCAGAGAATGTTTAATCGAGATATTAGAATTAAATGGGACTTATTAAAACCGTTGGAGGAGAAGGAGAATAAAATAAACGTTACTTTACCACGAAATAGAACCTTTAACGTAGGAGATTTTGTTTGGTACAAAGTACAAGGTGATGATAAATGGTGCAAAGGCATGATCACACATTGGCGTATGCAGCGGGGTGGGGGCAGGGGGACAAATCCTTCCCAAAGCCAAAAAATGCAGATGCCGGATTATATTTTTCAAAAATATTATTGTTATTAATTTATATTTGTTAATATTTATTCCATATTTAATTACATTTATTTATCACATTCATCTACTAAGTTATTTTACCAATCAATTTCGATTTCAAGTTTTCCTTGGCGTAATTTACCTATTATTTTCAAATTTTAGTGGCGTAATATTTATCTAAATTTCTAGTCAAATAATAATAATCTCTGAAACTTGTCCAACAGGGAGAAAGAAATTGCAAGCTTGTCCAACGAGATCGAGTCTCCGCCATCAAGCAGTAACAACTATTATGGAGTTAGAAGAGCCGATTATTAATGCTATTACTGAAATATCACAATGGCTTGAAAGAAATATTTCCTCAGAAGCAAGAAAATTATTGGATTCAATACTTATTCCAAATTTATTTTCTCATTAGAATGTATTATTTAATTATACAACTATTTTATGTAATACTTTTCAAAAACATAACATTGACTTGATTAAGAAGATGAGAATAGCGGAGAGCATTTTATTAGAACTCAAGGAAATTTGAGCTAATGTTGTTGAAGGATTTCATATTTTATATGTTATTGTTGAGTCAAAAGCAGAGCTATACGTGTTTAATATTTGTCCCCCTCGACTTGCAACAAGTAAGCTCATCGTCAAATATTAATATAAGATCAGTAGAAGAGTATTATAAAACAAATGTCCCCTCTCCCAACCTTTTTCATATGGTGATAGAAAAAAAATATAAATATTTGTTAGATTTTTATCATGAAGATGTTAAAATATCTTATGATGCCTTATTAGCTGAATAACTATGATTAAAAGATTAACTATGGTTGATACAGTTCCAAAAAATGCTATGGATGCTTTTTATTTTAAACACATTTTAGATTATACTCCCAATGTATTAAAATGGTTATATATATATTAGCAGCTTTTTGGTAAACTAATGAGAGAACATTCTCTTTTTTAAGAAGAATAGCAGAGCCTTTTTTAAAAAAATTTTCAGGCCCGGCCCGAATTTTTAAAAAATAAATTATATTTATTTTTGATTTTTATAGCTAATAATGGCGATTTCAAATATTTGGTTTTAAAATATACAGCTCGGCCCGGATATTTTTTCTAAAAAAATTTTCAGGCCCAGCCCGGGTGTTTTTTTAAAAAAAAATTCAAATACGGCCGGGCCTGCAAGTCTATGAATAACATACCTATGAAATACAACATCTGAAAGTAGATTGAATGATTT